AAAATGAAATAGTTAGCCTTTTGTTCAAGTCTGACATACTAACCATTACACTACACTGCCTTTGGACTGCTTTATCTGCCTATTTCTAAGAGGACTTTGTGACATTCCCATTGAAGCAAGTAAACATGATGTGGTGGAGAATGCATTATGCTACCCCTTGAGGACAAATAAAATTTTGCCACTCCACTTGTTTTGTCTGTTGCATTACGAGTAGATGGCATCTGAGGTTAAAAAAAAATCTACTAGCCAAAATAAGCTGTCTCAGCTAAGCAAATAATAGATAATATAAGCAATAAATGCAAAGAAGCATGCTTGTAGTATCATAATATCCTAAATAATCCTAAATAGGTTTCTGAAACCAATAGGGCAGACTCCCAAGCCATGCATTTAGGATCAGTGTGCAAGTCTGCCAATTCATGTGCAAGAGCAGAGACTGTAATGTCATCTCATTTTTTCTCCCAGTTTTTAAACTATGCTTTAGCTTTAATTGTAAATTTAGTTTGTTTTTGATTCATAAGTGTCCTGGGCATAACCTGCACTAAATAACATGGAGCTTCCTTTGGAGAAGGCCTGTTCAGGTTTCCTCCCAATGATTCCTTATACTTGTGCTACAAAATTGTATGGGCAGATTTTTGTTTAAGTTGGTTATGTGAAAGACTGCCTCTCTGCAGTCGATTTCATACACATTCTTTGGACCATCTGTTTGTATGATGCATGTTACAGAATGTCAGGTCAGATCAGTGGCATTTGCGTGCAGACACACAGACCTTTTATTGTCTTGTCTAACCTTAGATGAACATGTACAGACTGCCAGATCAGAGGAGCTCAAAGGGCATTCTCACAAACCTGGTTTTGTTTCTTTTGCAAACTCCAGACATAATATAAAAGGACCTTATTTTTTCCTACCATTGTTTTTGTCTGAAGCAGCTGAGTAAAGTTTGCAAAAATACAGATGGCATATTCAGGTAGGGTTCATTTATACCCCATTTCTCAGTCTTTAAGAAAGCGTGCGTGGTTTTATTGTACTTGGGCCGAGATTGATCAAAGTAGCCTTTTGTAATTGCATCAATATTTGGCTCAGAAAATAGCCATCTTATTTGATTCTAGCCTTCATTAGAAAACAAGGCTATCTGTTCCAAAAAACGTCCGGTGGCACAAGAATACATAAAGAATTCGGGCCCACTGTCTCAGTCCAGTTTTTGTGATTACGATCACTTTCCCAAGGAAAAGTTGTGTGAAGAATTACATATCTTTTTAAAAAGCAAATTTGCACAGAATGCTGGTGTAGGATAGCTTTGTTTTTATGCTAGGATTTGGTCAAGGTCAGTATTCTTGTTGAAGGAAGGAAAGTAATACAGATCAATATATCTTACTTCCACAAAATGGGTCCTGGACTGAGGTTCTGCTGGGTAATGGTCTGTTTCTGGGCTTGTAGTCAACATTTTGCCAGATCCTGGAGCTATGCTGAGCCAGTGGGAGCACTTTGACCCTTTTCGATATTTTGCCATGTAATTGCAAGGATGTTATTGCACCACTGCCGTTTCTCTGTGCTTGGTCCAGCGGATGCCCTGGTGAAGTAGGTTTGGACTGTGATTGAATACTGGTGCCCGACCCAGGGCATCTGGCAGTGCTGATTCACAAGAGTACGTTTTGGTTTTCTTGTACGTGCCTGTGCGATTTGGCTTGGCATAGGGTCTATTTTTAAATGGCAGAGGAGTTTTCCTCTTCTCCCCCCCCCCCCCCGCGAACGCGGGCTGGACGCTGGATCTAGCTGTTACCTCTTTTCCGTTCTCGGGGGTCTAGGGAGGCGTCTGCAGGTTTCTGATTTGCTGAAAATCGCAGAGGGCTCGTCCTGGGCAGAGCCTGGCTGTGCTGCTGACGCGTGGCTCTGGCTTGCTGCAGTTGCCGCACGTCCCTGTGACGTGTTGCGAGCAGACTTCGATCCGGAGGCCAGCGCTTGCTCTCGCCGCCGCCGCCGCCGCTGCGCCTTTTTTTGACAAGGTACCCTCACCTCCCCGCGCCTGCCGGTTATCATTCCCTTGGGGTCGAGCCAGATTTCCCTTCTGCACCGCAGAGCCGGAGGTGGAGGGGAAGCGGGGGAAAGCGCGCGGGGGTGGGGGGTGGGAAGAGCTCCAAGGCCTTCGCTGCTGTTCAGATTCATTGAAGTCTCAGGATAGATGCTCTAGAAGAAGCCATTTTTAAGTTAACAGTTGTTGGTGAGGTGCCGGGGGGGGGGTCGGCCGGCGGGGAGCAAGGCAGTGCCGTGTGCGCCCTCTGCGCGCCCGAGCGGCTCGGTTCGGGGGGGACCCCTGGAAGAGAGTTCCTTCCTTCCTTCCTGCCTCCCTCCCCACGGTCGAGCGAGGCGGCTGTGTCATGCCTGGCCTGGGCGTTGCGGGCCAGCTGAGGGGGTCAGCGGGGCGCGGGAGAGCGGGCTTAGGCGGGGAACTGTCTGTGCCAGCCGGCCAGGCTCCTCGGACTGAGCGGGGGAAAGCCGGGCGTGCCCTTCGAGCGGCTGCCCTTCAGAGGGGGCGAGCGGAGAAGGCGCTTCGGAGGAGCAGGGATGGAGAGCGTCCGGGGAGGGGGGGCATGGTTGCGCTGCGCACGGGAGCCGGCGGAGAAGCCAGCGGGGGTGGCCCGTCGTGGCCTCGGTGTCCGCGTCCATTGGGAAGAGCCGAGAGGATGAAAAGGTTTGCACAGGCGCTTCCCTGGGATCTCCCAAGTGATGCTGCAGCGCCACCCCTGTGGTGTTGTCCCTTTGGGGCAGCGGGGGGCTGTGGTGGAGGGCGGTCCCTTCTGTAGATCGTTAAGGGGGCCACTTTTGTAAAAGGGGAATGCCACGAGGAAACTGTCAGGAAGTGTTGGGGGAGGGGGGTGTTGCTTGCAGCTGGAAGGGGAATGAAGATCTGGGGAAGACTTTTCCACCAATTAAAGATGCTGGTCTGGTGGGTACAGGAGAATGGGCCTGGGCTGTGGCATCCCCACACTTATAGGGAACAGCCTCCCCAGAGAGGTGTGCCCAGCCTCCTCCCCCTCCTCCCTTTCACTCCTTAGGAGGCTTTTGAAGATGATTTGGCTTTTGTTGTTGTTGATAGTCCTAATTGGAGGTTTTTTATCGGTGACTTTGATAAGGTTTTATTTATATATTGTAAGCCGCCTTGAATTCCAAAAGGGAGAAAGTCTACCAGTAAATGTCTTAAATGGCTGAGAAGAGCCTAGAGTCTAGGCGGCCTCAGACCACCCACCTGCCTGGCGCTCTGTGTGGTGGTGCAGACTGCCCACCCCTTTTCCCTCCCAGCCTTTCGCAGATTCTTTGTGAAGTCCATCTGTATTATTTTCACAGGTAGCAGGTTCCCAGGTGGCATCTCCTCTGTGCCCATTCAGGCCCCAGCAATTCTCTGGGTGCCCAACCAGGGGTGGACTGGCCATTAAGGGCAGAGCCGTTTCCGCTTGGTCTGCCTTATGAACTACTTTGTTAATAGCAAGTAGAAATTCTAGAATGGACTTATTTTGAGTACATGTGAAACGTGTCTTTTGTGTGTTTTGTACCCTATAACCTGCTTTGGACCCATGTTGTGTGTTGGAAAGTGGGTTACAGGTGCCCTAAATGAACCCTAAATAAAATTATAGCCACTGGGATATTTCTGGGGAGGGGAGCTGATGGCCAGACCCCCACCCCCACTTGGGCCAGGCCAGGCCATGGTAGAAGGGCTGCGCCTGGCCCAGAAAAGGTGGATCCTGACCAGTGTGAGCCTTACCCAGCTAGTGTGAGGCTCCGCCAAGGCTAGTGAAGGTGGATTCTGGCTATCACTAGCCTTGCTGGGGTCAGAAGGGTGAACTGTGGTCAGCATGAGCCTGGCCGGGGGAAGGTGAACCTCATCTAGTGTGAGACTAGGATTACCAGCTCTGGGTTGCAAAACACTTGGGGATTTCGGGGGTAGGGACAGAGGGTTTTTCGGAACAGGACCTCAGTAAGGTATAATGCCATAGAATCCACTGTCCAAAATGGTCATTTTCTCCAGGGGAACTGATCTCTGTTACCTGGAGATCAGGTCTGATTCTGGGAGACCTCCAGGTCCTGCCTGGAGGTTGGCAACCTACATGGGCCTTGCTGCTCCCTACTGGAATGGGTCTTGCCTGGCGCAGGGGAGGTGATATTGGCGCAGATGGATGTGCCTGGGCCTGGCCGACTGTGGGAAGGCACACACCGGAGCCCGAGGACGTGGGAAGGCTGGTGGTTCTTTCTTCATCCGTTCTGGGGACAGGGCGGGAGGGGGAGGGGCTCTCATCTCCCAGGCTGCTCAGCCTCCCTTTGCACCTCTCCCTAGTTGCCTCTGAAGAAACTGACAGGCAGCCTTGAAACCTTGAAAGTTGGCTTGTCAGTTTGCATTGTCTTTAGGATCGGTGTGATGATACGTTTCTTGACACCGCTGGTTCTTCCAGCCCTCTCTGGGTGAGTGGTTGGGTTGGGAAGGGGAAATGCGAGGACGCGGCTTTGCTGAGAGGCAGGCAGCCAAAACACCACAGAACTTTAGATGACTTTATGAAATAGTTTTGGGACCAGCAGCGAGACAGTGGCTGCATTTCGCTCTGCCTTTGGAAGTTCTGTGCGGCCTTATGCCGAGAGGCGAGCTGCCTGAATGCAAGCGGAGCACCAAACCGGGGCTTGACTTCGCAGCCGGCTTGCCGAGCCTTGCTTCAGAGACGCTGGCGCGGTCTGCCTTGGAGCCTGACGTCTGGAGTTGGGTCGTCTGCTGGTGCGCCGCCCGTGGGCTCTCGGCGTGCGCGTCTCCTCTCCCCTCCCCCCCCCGCCACCCCCCCCCGCCATGGCTTCTGCAATGCGGTGGGTGTGGTTATGTAGTAAAGTGTAGCTCTGGACCGCTGCAGTGGAAGCGCTGTCTCCTCCCGCTTCTTGCCTTGCCAGTCCCAAGGTCCCCTGTGGCTTCATCTCGGCTGCTGAGTGGAGTTTAAAGTTGGGGGAAGAAGAGGCTCCTGCGGACTTAAACGGGAAGATCGAGGGGAACAGATGGTATTAATCAGACTGGGGGGAGGAGGGGGAGGGCCAGACATTAAGTTTGCAGACCCGGGAATCCGACCACGAAGACTTGTGTTTGCATCGCGGGTCCTGCTTCGAAGGGTTACTTCCTTGGGTTCTTCGTGAAGCGCCGCTTCGAAGGGATGACTCAGCGGTTGATTTAGCACAAGTTTTATTTGACCACAAAGATAACCGGGTGATCCCAGTCTAGCGTGTAGCAGATGCAGAGATAGTACCGAGTAGTGGGGGAGTTTTGTGGATTTACTGGAGGGGGACTATTTAACATTTTTATGAGGGTGTGGTTCGCCCATAAAACTTTTCCAACTGTCACTCTTCTGAGCCCTTGGCAAGTAGCTGAAAAGGGAGATTTGCTCCCCTAAGAGCTGTGGATGTAGAAAACTTGTAATGTAATACTGATAGGGTGGCTTGTTTTGCACTTTTAATTTTTAAAACTAATTTTAAAACATTGGAATCATTGGCATCCTTTTTGTGACAGGTTGTATTATATTTTATAAAACACATAGTAAGCATGGTTTGAGTTATGATTCTCAGCTGAGTTGTACTTAGTGTGGTTTAAGTTTGTATTAATTATAGTCCTTTTTCAATAAGAGCTCCCTCTTTTGTGATTTTTTTTGTTCCTAGTTTTGATATTACACTAATGCAACTTCATATTCAGTTACATTTTTGAAAATGAAAGCAGACTTAAACACAGTTTTCCCTGATTGTGCAGCATGATCGTACATTGATGTGACATTTAATCTAGGAATAAGTCCCTTGAACAATGTGATTTTGTAGCTGAAATGCACATGAGGGCGGATTGGTGTCCAGCATTATGTCTCTGTTGAACGTCACTGGTGATTTTTAATGTCTGAGAATACAGTTGCAAAGCACCCTAGTCTCTAAAGTCTTATAAATTAACATTCATTGGTGTAGAGGTTGAAAGACAAGTCCTGCAACACAACCCCATACCTGTTAACTCTTCATTTTAAAATGTAGTTTTGCATTTTGGATTACCAGGTACCTTAGTCATGGTTTTAATAGCCTAATAGAATGAAAGCTTGGAGCTCTGGAGCGGGAATAAAAGTGACACACTGATACAGAATATTCTCATTAGAAGATTGTAAAGTAATTGATGCAAGTCCACAATTGTAATTTGCACTTGAATGGCATAACTTGTCAAGTAACATGCTGTAACTATTATCCTAATAACTGCAACGGTCAAAGGACAGAAAGTAGAACCATTATCTTCAAATATACTGTGAACATCTCAATGTTGTCACACTCCTAATGGGTCATACGTCTTTCTTGATGTAACAGTTTCTAAACATTCGCATTATGGCAACTGGTGACTTGTAAAATTAGCTGTTGCATAGGAAGATTCTGCATTGATGTTGGGGGGGGGAGAGAGAAGGGGGGAGACACTGAAGAAACCAGAACTGTAGCAATGAAGTGCAAGTATTGCTTTGGACATGACATCACCTTGGCTCAAGGAAATGAGGGTGGGGCAGGGAGACTGTCTGAGCCATCTTTTGGTCCTCTTCAATAGTAGCTGTTCAGTAAACAAATATTTAAATAAATGCTTTGTTACTTTGAGCGGGTAACTATGATAGTGGTTGGAAGGAAGGGCCAATACAGATGAACTGGAAGCATCTGGGTCTACATACACACCAGTGAGACAGGAGAAGATAGAGGCAGCAAATTAAGATTCTGTGCATTGCCTGTCTTCCAACCAAATGTTATAATAGATATATGAGAAATTCATTCTTCGGATAAAGCTTTTGAATATAGACACAGTTGCTTTTAGGTAGTTGTGTTTTTTTATTCCCAAATGAAGGTCTATCATAATACTAACTGTATTTCTTTTAAAATTACTAAAAATTCAACAAAACTAGTTTATTTTCTTTTTTTTTAAGTGAATGGTTCAGTCAGTGTTGGTATGGGCACTCGTCTTTAAAAGAGGGAGGAAACTTCTCACGAAGACTGCTGGTGTGTACTGTTAAAGGCAGCATAGGTCATTTAGAACTGTAAATGTGTTGTTGGAGTGCTGACATATGACAAACAGATGCAGGTTTGGAATTCTGCAAAGGAACTACCCATCAAAGTAATGTGTTTCATCCAGTATTATGTTTTCTTAATTCAGAACTTGCACTTTATTATTTGTAAAGTACCTGAACAAATGCATGGTCTGCTTTGCTGTATACCTCCTTTGCTCCATAAGGTGTTTATTGGCTGGCTTTCAAGGTTGTACCTATTTAACTGAGGAGCAGCCTGTTTATTCCAAACACCATTAATTATGTATATTTAGGCAAAATTTAGGCACATCTATCAGTATATAAAAGTATTCTCCCAAGGTTCTGAACTTTTGTTTTGCACAAATTGAAGATAAACACAGGGGTACAGCTGTGAAACTGTGATTACTTTCCATCTGTGTCTAGAACTCAACCATGATTATTTTACTAGGTTGAATGAGTACCCTGGTAATCTTGATGGATGGCTTTCATCAAAGCTATACAAGCTGTAAAAACACCAAGCAATGCTGAGAGAGATGCGAGAAGTGCCAACTGAAATTAAACTCCACAACAGGCAGCTAATAAGTCTTTTCCCCTCCACTTTGTAGACGTCAGACTTAGCAGTAAACATTCCTATTATTTTAATATCTGAGTTTTTATTCACTTTTTAAACCTTACTTCTGCTAGAGGAAATAAAAGTTGATAGGATAATTTTCTTTCTTTCTTTTTTTTTGGGGGGGTCCCCAATGGGGAATTTTTATTGCATTTTTATTAAAACTACAAACTATAACAGAAATAAGAGAGGGGACTACATTTAGGGGATAAAGAAAAGATACCCACTACTGATTAAAAAGCCAAGAGAGGAGATCTTCTAATCAGCTTAAATACACATCTAGTCTTAATCCTATTAATCTCATTACAAACTGAGTCACATATTCTGTTAACTTTTCCCACATCTTAAATTTAACTGATATAAGGAAATACCCCAAAGCATCTCGATTCAAAATTTTTCAAAGGCACAATTCAGAGTCCTTCAGCCTTCACTTCTTCTTGTCCAGTCTCTTCCGCAACTTATAAAGACTTTTAGGGGCTGCTGCCCCTTTTTCTGACAGAGAGTCCTTTCTGGAAGAACCCGAGCCCAGCTCGCCACTGGACTTACTGTCCCCTTCTTTTTCTTCCTCCTCTGGCCCTCCCAGCTGGACTCTTAAAAATTCTCTCGCTTTCAGAACAGAGTCAATCTTTTCTTTTTTATCCTTGATTTTGAAGGTGAGGCCTTCTGGAATTAACCATCTATATCTGATTGAATTTGTTTGAAGAAAAAGAACAAGGTCTTTATATTTCTTTCTCCGCTGTCTTATTTCAAATGGAATATCCTTCAGTACTCTGATAACACTCTCCCCCGCTCTCAGGACTTCCTTCAGATTCTCTCCCTTAGTCTCTGGCATGTCCTGAAAGCAAAGGATCATATTAGCCTTTTCCATTTGTAATTGTAGCAACTGCTCTTCTGTAGAAACTTGCTTCTTTTCCAGTTTTTGTACTTTCTTCTTCACCTTTTGGGTAGTGGCATCCACTTCTTTCACCTTCTCATTTGTTTGAGTCATCATTTTCAGAGTCTCGCTTATCTGATTTTGTTGAGTGGTGATACACTGGGTCATTGATGTCATCTGCTCTTTGAGATTATTCATTCAGTCCAGCAGGTGGCGCATGGAGTCTGCCAAAGTCTTTGTTGGCTTGTTGGCTTCTTCCGGTTTTGGGCTCTCAGTTACTTTCGATTTCAGATGCTTCTCTTTCTCCGTCCTCTTCCCCGCCATCTTTTTCGCTTTGTTTACTTTCACAAACTTTTTGAAAGTCTCTGAATATGCACTTAAACGCTCGCACTCGCCTTGGTAAATACTCCTTAGCAATTTTAACCGTTTATACTTCCGCTTCCCCCCCCCCAATTGCTCTAAAGTCTATGCGCTTGGGAGGCATCCCTCCCCCGCTCGCCTTATCTTCTGTTCCGTGGGGTGGGGAGCTTCTTTACTTTTTAATCAATGCTTAAATGACTCACATTCATAATCGGTCCACGGATCTCATTTACACTCAATTTCTAACGCTCGATCTCCTGCGCTTGCCCTGGTCAGCGTCACTTAGTCCATTCGGTCTCTCAGCACGAAGAACCATCAGAGCGGAGAGGTGCCTCAATTCTCCGGCATTACGCCGTTGAAGAGGCAACCTCTCAAGAGCTCCATGGCCAGGGTCCCTTCAGCCGGGTCCCTGGGGGAGTAGTGAGCCAGCACACCCCCTCCTTCGGCTGGAGTGCAGCTTCACCCCCGGGAGGTCCAGGAGGTGAGTTTGCTAGCGTGCCGCCATCAACCGGAAGCTCCGATAGGATAATTTTCAAAAGCTGCTCAGCATCTCCCTATCATTATGTTTATTTCTGATAAATATGAAATCTAAAATCAGATTTCTGTAAATAAAACGAAAGTCTGAAGAATAAATAAAATGTCTAGGCTTGAAAGAAGATATTTTAAAAAGGCATAAAAAGAGTGTGTAATTTAGTTGTATTGAGATAGTAGACATACCATTCCTGTTATGTGCAAATAACTTTTACAGCTGTGTAATTGTGAGAAGCTTCTGTTGTTTTCCAGCACTCTTGACATTTGGGAAAAGAAACAGTGTAGGTTTTAGGAAGAAATAGTCCACTTCATCTTTATGGTTTTGGCACAGGAAGTCCTACAGGCTTATTCTTCTAGCTCCTGACAGAACTAATGGCTGTCACTATGGGCATCAGAGCAGAAGGGGCCTCTAGACAAATGTAATGCATTGGACATCTAAGAAGTTGAAAGTGGGTTATCATCTGAGAGGTAAGACATTTTTAAGTTACCATATCTAAGGATGAATATGTTGAAACTGAATCCCGACAAAATGGGGATAAAGCTGTTCGGGAAGGCTGAGGTCTTGAAGATCATTGTGCTTCCCAACTTCTATGGGGTCCCAATGATG